GTCTCCAGGATCACGCCCTGGGCCAAAGGCAGGCGCCAAACCGCTGCGCCACCCAGGGATCCCCCAATTCAAAATTTCTTTTAATTTTTTTTTTTTATGATAGTCACACACAGAAAGAGAGAGAGAGAGAGGTAGAGACACAGGCAGAGGGAGAAGCAGGCTCCATGCACCGGGAGCCCGACGTGGGACTCAATCCCGGGTCTCCAGGATCACGCCCTGGGCCAAAGGCAGGCGCCAAACCGCTGCGCCACCCAGGGATCCCCCAATTCAAAATTTCTAACTATCCACAGGCCGTATCTCCCTAATGCCTTATTCAGTACCTGAAATGGAAATCCTCTTCTGAAGTTCATGCTACAAATCAACAGAAGTTCAAAAACATCTAGCTCCTCCTTTACCAGCATCCCTCACCAATCCTCTAGCTCCTGTATTTCCTCCAAGCTCAATTTCACCATCAATAATGTCTATCCCCTTCATCTCTCTATTCTCACTGCCAATACCTAGTAGGCAAACCCAATAAAGGAATGAATTAATACACCACTAAGACAAGCAACAGGATCAGAGACTCTAAAGTCCACTGTCCTTCCTTTGGACAGCAAACAATAATTTCAGATTTAAAGCCAGTCATCACTTTTGATTCTATGTCAAACTGACTAAAAAATTCCCATGGGGATACCTGGGTGGCTCAGCGGTTTGGTGCCTGCCTTTGGCCCAGGGCATGATCCTGGAGACCCGGGATCAAGTCCCACATCGGGCTCTCTCCGTGGAGCCTGTGTCTCTGCCCCCCCACCTCTCTCTCTCTCTCTCTCTGTGTGTGTACTCATGAATGAATAAATAAAATCTTTAAAAAAATAAAAATAAAAGATTCCCATGGAAACAGAAGAACATAAAATCCAATAGAGAAAAAGTTCTAAATTAATGTCTAATATTTAAAGAAGGACATGAAACAAAAGAACAATACATGATTCAACTTATTCCTAGAGATGTTATCTCCATCAAGACAACAGACTATCTGATATGACCACACATTTTATCAAGAGTAAAAACTTAGATCAAGAGCTTAAGAATGGGGAAGTGGCTAACTAGGCTTTAAATGCCAGACTCTATTCATCACATGCCTTTAGAGATATGGAACAGTTTTTCTACAGTACTACTTCTCAAAGTGTTACCCCTAGATCAACAGCATCAGCCATCTTCCGGAACCCTGCAAAGTTTTAGACCCCATTTCAGCCCTACTAAATCAGAAATGCCAGGAATAGAACTCAATATTTTGTGTTTTAACAAGTTTTCCAGAGTACTGATGCAGGTTTTATTCAATTGAGGCACCTATATCTTTCTAAGGAACACTTATGTGCCAGATACTATGTCAAGGCTTTATATCATCACCTTCACCATTACAACACCAATAACAGCTGTTAACATTTACAAATTTACTCTATGCTAAGCACTCTGTCATCCTCATTTAATTCTCACAATTACCCTATAAGAAGATACTGGTTTTCTTTCTTTTTTTTTTTTCATTAAGTTTTTAATTTTACTTCTAGTGTAGTTAACATACAGTGTTATATCAGTTTCAGGAGATACTGTTCTTCTTTTTTTTTTTTTATGATAGTCACACAGAGAGAGAGGCACAGAGACATAGGCAGAGGGAGAAGCAGGCTCCATGCACCCGGAGCCCGACGTGGGATTCGATCCTGGGTCTCCAGGATCGTGCCCTGGGCCAAAGGCAGGCGCTAAACCGCTGCGCCACCCAGGGATCCCTCAGGAGATACTGTTCTTATTCTCATTTTATAAATTAAAAAAAAACAGTAACTTGCCTTAAAAAAAAAAAAACAACCCTAAAAACAACTACTAAGGGTTTAGAGCCCAGATTCAAAGCCAGGCTCTATAAAGTCTGTATCAATGCCATCATCATATGACATCATTATCATTCTTATTCTCTCCAACAATCCTAGAACTTAAGCAATGTGAATCCCATGCTACAGATGTATAAACAGAATTGGGTTAAGTCATTGCCTGAGATCATATAGCGGCAAAAGATAATATGTATCTAAGTTTGTCTGATTTGAAAACCCATACTCTTAACCAATCTGTTATCTCTCCTAAATAAAGATAAAATCTATAAAATCTATGACTGAGTAAATGCCTACTACTATCAATTATTCTATTTAACCTCTTGATCCCCTTGTTGAATTCCTGAGTAATATTGTATACTTCAGGCAGAGGGTTAATTTAGCAGATTGGGTTAAACCAGGGAGAATCAAGTTGTGCTCTCTAGCTGAGTAGACTCAGAATGGCCAGCAGTCATACATTTCAAACAGATATATTAATGACATCTATAAGGGACTGCCACGAGAGGGGAGGAGGAAACAGAAATGAAAATAATTTTTTTTAAGTATTACTCTGGCTTTTGTACATTAAATTAGCACTCAGACTTCAAATGTTTTGAAAAGATAACTTAGGGTCTGTATACTTTGGCTCTCAAATACTGATAAACTTAGAATATCTTTTTTTTTAATTTTTATTTATTTATGATAGTCACACCCAGAGAGAGAGGCAGAGACACAGGCAGAGGAAGAAGCAGGCTCCATGCACTGGGAGCCCGACGTGGGATTCGATCCCAGGTCTTCAGGATCACACCCTGGGCCAAAGGCAGGGGCAAAACCGCTGCGCCACCCAGGGATCCCTTAGAATATCTTTTATTTATGTTTCACAGTATTTTCCATATATAAACATCTTGGATATATTCCTTTGATGAAAGTCAAGGCTTAAAGACATTCCATCCACCGAAGAGGAGCATGGTCAATTAAACAAAAACAAGTTACAGTCAGAGAAACAGGAACTAAGTACAATGGACAAGTGTAATCCATTATAATTTTATTGGAGTCCTTTGCATATTCTCTACTGCATGTGCTACAATGTCCTCTTACAATGCTAGAATCAATCACCTGAAGAGCTGGAGCTCTCAACACACACTGGTACTAAATTTTAAATAGGTTTGTACAAAAAGCATCACTACGCTACCATAGCACTTAAGGAAGACAGAGTCAAGGTAAGTTTCAAAATGATCATTCAGGGGATCCCTGGGTGGCGCAGCGGTTTGGCGCCTGCCTTTGGCCCAGGGCGCGATCCTGGAGACCCGGGATCGAATCCCACGTCGGGCTCCCAGTGCATGGAGCCTGCTTCTCCCTCTGCCTGTGTCTCTGCCTCTCTCTCTCTCTCTCTCTCTCTCTCTCTCTCTCTCTCTCTCTCTCTGTGTGACTATCATAAATAAATAAAAAAATTTAAAAAAAGAAATTTCAAAATGATCATTCATGTTATTCCAGACCACTGCAAATGTGGAGGAGGTGTAATGGAGCCTTGGCTTCAATCCAGAGTGCACCTTTGGTCTATAAGGCAACACACGCTTAAAGCATACTTAACAGAGCTCTCCTTTCCTATTAAAAACAAATAAGCAAAAAAAACCCCACCCGAACATTTTATACCAGCAGGGTTTACCAAATAGAGTTGGGTGTCTGGGGTGAGGAAGAAAGTAAAGAGCAAACAATGTTCAAAAATGGCTAGTCACTAAATTCCCAGGCAATTTCTATTCACTTCCTCAAGAAAGTTTTATGTAAATCTGCTCTTATGTTGACATTATTCCAGGGAAACATTTGTAACATCTGATTCTTCCTTTTCACATAAGCCTTGAGTACACTTCAAATGCTATAAAGAACTCAGCACAAAGCTGAGCCCTACCCTTAAGATTGAAATAAACATTATTTTTAGAAAAGCTAAATCACACAATGTACATTAAACCCTTTGTAAAAGTACTGAAATATAAGTATTTAATGAACTTTACTTGGAGATCTAAATTAATTTCCAAAGAAAGATTATGATGGTCAAGTCACAGGTTAAACTGTTAAAGGAAAAAGCAATACCTGTATAAATCCTATAGCCTTTGGGTCTCAGCACTGAGTGTAAAGAAAGATGTCTGTCGCAACTGTCAGATTCAAGTACACTTAAAATCAAGTAAAAGACTGTATTATTATTTTTTTAATTTTTATTTATTTATGATAGTCACACAGAGAGAGAGAGAGAGGCAGAGACACAGGCAGAGGGAGAAGCAGGCTCCATGCACTGGGAGCCCGACGTGGGACTTGATCCCGGGTCTCCAGGATCGCGCCCTGGGCCAAAGGCAGGTGCCAAACCGCTGCGCCACCCAGGGATCCCCAAGACTGTATTATTTTTTAAATTTTCTATAAATTTGACACTTTGATGTCTCAAAAAAACCCTTTCTGGCTAGCCAATTCTTAGAGCCAAGGGGGGTGAGGTGGGGGTATGCCTTTGATGTGCAAACTAACCAATTCAGAGCTGTACCTCCTTCATCTGGCCCACACACCCCAGGATGCAATTCTTCTGCCTTAATTATCCCAGGACTAGATACCAGGCAATAAGGGACTAACCCCTTAAGTTTAGAGCCTACAGAAATTATTCAGTGAGCCAGATCCTAAATTGTCTAACCTGATCTGCAATTCCCAAGGAAACTTCAATATAGCTCTAGCCTCTGCTTTTCCCATGCTCTTGCTTTCTGCCTCCTGACCACCCTGAGGCTTCTCTATGTGCCCCTCAGATGTGTCCTATTTCTAGGACTTGTGAGTATAAGAACTTTTATATCCCTGAGTCTCTCCTGTGTCACCTCTTGTGACTGGCCATTACAGAACACAAAATAGGCCAATCTATGTTCTTACATATGATTGCTTTTAAGTTGTATGCACATGAAAGAATCTAAGTTGTAATTACTAAACTGATTTTCCCTCCAGATTCTTGCAGACATTGGCATAGAGGAAAAAAAAAAAAAACACCTTTCTCCACTAGTACAAATTAAATGAAGGGTGCATTTCTATGTCCACCTTGGAAATTACCTTAATTTTGCCATTATTTTCCCAAATTTAACCCTGACATAAAGGACACCACCTGAAATTAACAAGGCTCAAGAATAAGAATAGAAATGAAATACCCACCTGTGAAGGTGTACTGGTAAGTTCCATCTTTTCCTGTGATTTCTCCTTTGCTAGTCGAGCAGCTTCTTTAAATTCCTGAAACTTTTCTGCGAACTGAATGTATAAAGACTATATACATTAACCAAATAAAATAAAAATAGGTCTCAATGCCCACTTTTACCTTGGTTTTCTTTCATTGTCTGAATAACTGACTCTTACACAACCAAGCCCTCAAATCAATTACAGGTGTAATATAAAAATGAAGGTAAAGAAACATAATACCCAACACTTGTTGGTAGACTATCACCTACTCTGACCCACTGCACTGAATTTGGTGTCAGCAAGTTTATCTATGTCCCTTCTTGGTTGTTCAGATATAATATACTAAGACCAAGGTGCAGAGTACAGGATGTGAGTGGAATCAGTAAAGATTAGCATACTTTATCATGAAGAAAACAGAATCTTTTAAGTATTTACTCATAAACATCTCAGTATTTGGAGCTTACTTTTAACTTTTACTAGAATATAAACTCTCGGATTAAGTAAGGTTTTTTATTTTCAACAATATAAATAGTAACATTTACTATTACCACTAAATGACATTACTAGAACTTCATTTCCAAAGATTCCTAAAGAGCTAATGTACAGCAGAGAGGAATAACATAATTTCACAAAGAGGTCTTTAAGACCGGTAAAAACAACAACAAAACTACAGTACATGAAATGCTAATTCTTATGAACCCATAGTAATCTAGAAGTGTCAGGGCCACAAAGAGTATCTATTATTGTTTTGGAAGTGGAAACTAGTCTACCACTAGTCTCAGAGGGAGTAAGTTAAGGCTACAGAATAACCAAATTAAAAAATCAAAAACCTAGATGCAACTTATAACATCTTCTAGAGTTGGTAATAAAAATATGAAATTCTATTTCCCTCTTCAAACCCTCATAAGTAAACCTGATTTCATTTCTCTCTTAGGATACTTCAGAAGGAGAGGTCATGATACTCTGACCTGCATTGGGGACTTAGATGAAGGTCAAAATTAAAATTGTCATTACAACTTTCCTTCTTACTTTAAACTTGCCACTACCATGTGTAACTTGTAGATCAGGAATTGAATCTTTATTAGTATGCTGTTCTTTTTTTTATATTGAGGAGATAGTCTGTCCAATTAATCTGAACACAAAGTTAAAAAGGTCTTACACGGGGTCAATGAAATAAAAATAAAACCATGATTAATTTCTCTATGTATTTTGAAGCAGAACAATTTTTCTTACACTCAGGTAGCATTTCAAAGTAGTTAATGTTTAAGACCCTTTTAAATTTCATAAAGGCTCACACTATTGCTAATTTTTATAGGCTTTGGTTTCCATGGTAACAAAATACAACACAGTAATTACTCTAACAATTCAAGCATAGTTGCAATTTTTCTCATACATCAACCTTAGGAGACCAAAGGTTTCTCTCAAGGTTGCTACTCTCCCTTATTTTGATAGACCCTTGTCTAGTTCAAATTACTTAGACTCAAAAATCATTTCATGCAAGTTTGAGAAATTAATCCACAATTTAGTTCCTGTGTTGTCAAGAAATTTAGGAAGTAATATAATTCTAGTTTTAGCTTTTTTTGTTATAGACTTTAACAGGTAATTCCAAAAAGCTGCCATTTGAGTAATGGCAAAAGTATTAGAACAAACATGTAATTTCCTAAGGGGATTATTTATGGAGTGCTAATGCTCAACTGGATGCCTGTGTCCCTGTTATATCGAAATACTTTGAATCTAATTCTTACCTTTACCACAGCTCAAGAAATGTATTTAGAGAATACAACAGGTATAAGAGAAACCAAATAAGATAATGCTTGTTCATTTTCATCATCCTATTGGGGACAGATTTATAATCAAGAAGGCAAAAATTAAAATATCCTTAAAACTGGTCTCTAAACTATAATTTATAAAAAAAAGATAACAAAAATATTTGAAAACAACAGTGTTAAGAAACGTCTACAACCAAAACAAATGGAAACAAAGACTACTTTCATTACTGAACTATGTCCTTGATTCAATAAGTATTCATAAAAAGTAACATTTTTTTAAAAAGAAATTTAAGAATCTGAATGATTTCTATAATAAACAGCATACTGTTTAATGTAAACATGAACAGTGTGTATCTTCAAGAGCCTGACTGCCCGACCTTGAACCAACTGCAACTCCCAAAAGGAATCAGATCCTGTGAATACCAAATTATATGTAAAATGTTTCAAATGTAGTGTTATCCTTTTATGGAAGGCTTCAAAGAGAGAAGTTTAAAGCATAAATCTTTGGGTCTGGTGAGCATAAAATCCGAAGAGCAAAAGTGAGTAATCCTCCTCTCTTTGATCATTATCCAATCCTGAGACAGTTTCTTTTTCCTTATATACTCTGTGTGACACTTTCAAGACACTAGTGGTATGAATACTGCATGCTGTTGCTTATAAACAGGACAACTGTTTTATTTTCACTGGTTAGCCTAGTGATGTTCTGTTATTTTACTGGCCGTTCTGGCCACAGTAATTCACTTGGTCAGTATCTTCCAAGAACTCTTCATGTGTTTATTATATTTCACCCTGTACTCCATCAGAGAGTCTGAAGTAATTCTCACCCATATAAAACACCATTTTTCTTAAACGAAGTAATCTGTATGTGCCTACTATCATGTCAAAAACCTCAAATCTTTATCATTAGCAGCTTGTTTTCACAATTCAGAAGAGTTTGTGTTGACTTCCTTGCAGACCGTCTCTACTAAGGGTGCTAATCCCTGAGCAAAGTCCATTCTGAAGTGATAATCCCTAACTTCTATGTTAACTGTCACACAGTTAAACACACAAATAGTTCTCTATCTATGGTGACTGTTTTTAATGTGTGCAATTTTCCAACTGACAGTGGAATTTAATGATCCCTCTCACTTCTTGCTTTAAAGTCACTACAATTGTTCTGAGAATACTAAAAAATTTCTCCCATATTTTATACTCTCCACTTGTTATTATATATTTAAGACATCTGACTTGAAGATTTCCACTTAATCTTATGAGTTAACTTACTTTAGAAAGATGGTGCTCAGAGGAGAATCCCAGTCCATAAACAGTGTTTGCCCGGCTATCGGCCCACTGGCCAAACTTCTGAGATGTTTTAGTAAATGTCATGTTTGGGGTGATGGTGCTATTAATTATTGCCTGAAAAATAAAATAAAAGTATGAGTAACTAGCCAAAAATTAGCAAACAGGCATTTAAACACAGGACAATTAGTTCCATAAAAATTCAGGATTTCTAACCAGTCACAGTATTAAATATATGAAGATATAGAAATAATTTTTAACAATATAAGTGGCAGTGTAGAAATATGGTAACTAACAGAACTATAAATACAGGATACTCTATCAAAAATTTTAACACTTTACAATCACAATTAATTTTCTAATAATGTAAAAAATCTTGGAGAGTTTTTTAGTGCAGTCAGTTTCTTTCCTTTGAACATAAGGATCAGTATCTATTAATTTTGAGTAATACTTCCCGGAAGCAAGTAGGCTTTAACAGCTGCTTCTTTAAAAGTAAGGCCCTATCCTCCAAATAATCTTTCAAAAATGAATACATCAAAAGAACAAATTTTCTATTTGTACACTAATTTTCTAAAATCCATGATCAAGAGTTTTCTTAAAGCTGACTTACTCAAAATATATCATGATACAGAAAAGATGTACACTTAGTACTTTTTCCTTTACTCAAGGGAAAAACAAACCCCTAAATACATAATTTACTTCTTTTCTCATAAAGCGGTATAAATTCATGATACAGAGAATCATTATCATTTCTGTTTATCACATAGTTTCTTAGAAAACTAGTATTTTAGTGTGTTAGCTAAATATTAATTTTGGGAAGTGCCTGGGTGGCTCAACTGGTTAAGTGGCTGACTCTTGGTTTCAGCTCAGGTCATGATCTCAAGGGTCCTGGGATGGAGCACGGTGTGGGGCCCTGTGCTCAGTGCAGAGTCTGCTTGAGAGTCTCCCCCTCCCTCTGCCATTCCCCCTACTCATGTGCACTCTCTGTCTCTCACAAAAAAGTAGTAATAATAATAAATTTTGGTGGTCACTATAATAAATTCCAACTATTATTTTAACATAACTTAAGTACATTCCCTCTGACAGTACTAGAAAAGTATAGAATCGGTTTTAGTTTTAATGCCCTCCAAAACTGAGATTACAAAGTGATTCAAAAAAAAAAAAAAAAACAAAACCAAAGTGATTCCAGTAATAATAAAAATAAACACCTTACCAAGTTCATAAGCAGTCATTTGGTGAACTACTAAATGTGGAATGAAAATCACACATTTTCAGAACAAAGTTAAATCTACTGACCATGTGAATAGTATAAATATAAATATTTACAAGCTTTGCACAGATTGATGAAGTTACAATAATAAATGTAGAACACTTGTCCTACTAAAGAGGAGAGCAAAAGAAAGAGTGGTCCTTTGCTTTCTATCACAAATAACAGATGAGTTAGCTGTTGTTCTAGGAGAGCCCTTATCCTTGATTATGCATTTTTAACTGACAAAATTTATATATTCACACTCCTTTCCCTTCAGTTCAAAAGCTGCTTTTCCTAGCATGTCATTTTAGATTCTGTAAAATGTAGCTAAAAGTGCTAACTTGCAGGTTGTCATAAAATGAAAAACTGAATACAAACGAATATATTAACAAATAGTAAGGAATGAAGTAACACAAGGTAAGGAATTTGGTTACGGAATCATTTGGTTATTAGCTTTTGATTAGCTTTTTAAACTAGGTACCTATTAAATGCCAAGCACAATTCTAGAGACTTGAAATATAACAATCAGAGGCAATGTAACTGTGGGTTACATTCTAAAGCAAGAAGAGTTGGTCCATGAACAAAGACTAATACAATTTCATGAAGTGGTTAAGTGCTATGAAGCTCCTAAGATCCGCATGTGATAGAGTCTGAGAGGCTAGAAGGCAAGGACTGGCAGGTACTATGTTAGATGTGGTGGTCCTCAAGTGTTCCCCGAGGAGGGTGCTTTTGAGAGCTGGAATCTGAGTGCTTTCAAGGACAGAAGGGCATTTTACATGTCATCCCAGTAACTCTCAAAAAGTGAGGTACCAAGAGGTTTTATAGGCATCCGAGAAAACTGACCCATTTGTGTTGGTCACAGATCTTCAGTTTTAGCTATTGGAAGTGAACTTCTTTATGCTTTTAAGAGTTCCATTTTAATCCCCATTTTGAATATTTCCTTGCCTCCACTTGTTCTGGGATTACTTGTTTGGGGATTCTTCAATCACTAAAGAAAAACTTTAAAATGATAGATGATCCTGCACTTTAAAAAAATTATTCATTAGAATACTTTGACTAGAATGCTTTGAACTGTTTGAATATGAATCTACTTAGAAGAAAAATCTTAGTTCTTTAAAATAAATCTGTCTCTCAATCTCAGAGTTCTTGTCCTTTCAAGGAAAAGAGGTAAAAATGCTGTGTCATTATAGATCGTGGTGTGCTCTTATTCTGGCCCTCAGCCATGGTGATGTCTCTGCAGCTTGATTAGAAAAACCGTTAAGCAAACTTTACATGCACAATAAGGGTACTAAATGGAACAAACAGACATTTTCTAATCAGGGGCACCTAAGGGCTTTCCAACTCATCATGCAGTACAGAAATAGAAGTGGGGGTGGGGAAGGGAAAAACTCATTTAGCCACAAGTAAATCACTAGTGCTTATCGAGAAAAAGCAACTTCTGCAGGAACTGCAGTAGCTACCAGCATCAGTCTTAAAAAGTAATTAGAAAATGTAACAACCACAGAGGGTAGATTTTGTAAAAATAAACAAAACAAAACCTTGTTCACAAGAGTTAAGAGTCTGATGATTACAAACTGCAAAGTATACTCAAAAACGGAAATGCCAGCAGCAATAGTTCCTACTGCTTGAGAACGAAGAACACATGAAAATTATTTAATCACATGGGACAAGGGAATACTTCAGTTGAACTTTATTCCATTTAACTCTCCCGTCTAATAAAACGATGTTTTATCTGTGGTTTGGGCCAACTGGGAAACAATTGTAGAGAACTGAAAGTTCTAGTCAAGGAAAAGAAATAAATTAATATTCTAGTGTCTGAGGTCATAACAATTAAAATCTGTTGATTTCACTAAACAGTTACAAAATATGACAAAATTATTCTTCATTAAAAAGTTTTACAGGGGCACCTGGATGGATCAGCCAGTTAAGTGTCTGCCTTGCCTCAGGTCATGATCTCGGGTCCTGGGATGGCGCCCAGAGTCCAGGCTCCATGCTCAGCTGGGAGCCTGCTTCTCCCTCTCCTTCTGCTCCCACCCCATGCACGTGCTCTTTATCAAATTAATAAATAAGTAATCTTAAAAAAAAAAAGGAGTCTTATAGAAATTAACTATTTCTCAAGTCCTTTAAATCCTCTAAGTAAAAATGAAAGATAATATTTTTTTTTTAAGTTTTCTTTACTGGGGCACCAAAAATCATGCATGACCTGAGCCAAAATCAAGAGCTGCCCGCTCAACTGACTGAGCCACCCAGGTGCCCCAAGAATCAGTCATTCTAATAAATACCTATTAGTGACTTAAATACAAGATAAGGTACAAATAGCCCCTGTAATTCTATAATCTACTTAAGGAGATGATGAGTGAGCATGTGAAAAAATGAACTCAGAGTCGTGCCCTAAATTATCTTTTGTTCCCCCTAAACCACAGACAATATGTAACTAATAGCCTGAAAATATTATTAATGGAAACAAAAGCAGTAAGTGTTTGCATACTGATTACTATACATCCTTAAAATGCTTTTGCCTAAATTAATTTATTTAATCGTCATGACAATCCTGTGAGGTAATGATGTAGGCATTTTTATTAGTTTCTTTTTACAGATGAGAAAATTGAGATGTGAAGATACTAAGTATCTTGTTCTAGGTCACATGGCTAGTGAACAGTTAAAAAAAAATTCAAGCCAGATACTCTATGTCTACAATCTGTGGTCTTAACCCCTACACTGAACTGCTAAATTTTTTTTTTAAGATTTTATTTATTTATTCATAAGAGAGAGAGAGAGGCAGAGACACCGGCAGAGGGAGAAGTAGACTCCATGCAGGGAGCCCAATGTGGGACTCGATCCCAGGTCTCCAGGATCACACCCTGGGCTGCAGGCGGCGCTAAACCGCTGAGCCAATGGGGCTGCCCTGAACTGCTAAAATTTCAAGCTGAAATACCTCAGGGCTTCAAAAAAGCTTGAAGAAGAATGGAGCCCTCATCTTTCTATACCCGTTATATCCAGAACCCAATGTCTGGTATTTCTGTATCTCTCTGTGTTATTCAAAATTCATTGATGAAAAAATGGAATTTCCCCCTTTTGAAAGGCATACTATCTACAAGACACTGATCAAAGTGCTCTGCAGATATAAACTCGCTTAATCCTTACTAACACCACTAATGAGGTGAGAACAATGAGGTTCAGAGAAGTAATCTGCCCAAAGTCAAACACTTAGTAGATAGATGGTAGAGCTGAGATATGAATCCAGGCAGTCCGTGCTCCTAAACATTATACCATCTGTCTCTCTTAAAAATAAAAACTTAGGTCTTGTCCATAAACTTCTCTTCAGAATAAGAGATGTCAGCTTTAACGGTGACACTGACCAGACTTCATACCATTTAGGGATTTTGAGTTGCCTGCTAATCTACAGAAGTCTATCTGAAAAGAAATCTAGTTCCTTACTAGATTGTATACTCTCAAAGAGGAGAAACTGTGTCCATTTTGTTCACCACTATATTTGTAGCACCTAGCATAGTGCCTGACATGTAAGAGATTATGCAATGAACATTTATCAAATTAACTAAAAATTTGTAGAATATTTTGATATGTAACTCAATATAAAGTGGTCAATCCAAGTAATTTAGTAAACAAAAAATGTTGCTACCCTAAGAATGATCAATTTTGGTTTTTTTAAAGTTAAGTTTTTGGGGTGCTTTGATGGCTGTTGGTTAAGCATCTGACTTTGGCTCAGGTCATGATCCTGGGATAGAGCCCTGCATCGGGCTCTCTGGTCAGCTGGAAGTCTGCTTCTCCCTCTCCCTCTGCCTGCAGCTATCCCTGCTTGTATGCACGTGTGCACTTACTCTAATAATAAATAAATAAAAGATCTTTTTAAAAAATTAAGTTTTTAAAACTCAAAAGAATATTTTATTTTAATAAAGACAAGTCTTCCAAGTAAAACAGAAAATGCTCTACTGCATAAAACAGCAAGATTATTTAAAGTAAATTTAACTTACCTTTGAGCCATCTAAACTGATTATCCTATACACATTCCTTGTGCTGTCATAGAAATAAGACACAGTAACTGCATGCTTGCTGGTGGGGACCCAGTTCTTCTTCGTGTTTGGGTCAATCTGGAAGACATGAGCTCGAGTGCTGAAGATGGGTTGTTCCCTATAGGGCAAAAAATAAAAAGGACAGACTGAGAGTTTTATTCCCCTGGACAACAGACCATGGAAACTGTGAGAAATACCCCACTTAACCCAAAACACCCATATGCCCCAAAATAAGAGAAACACTGTTTCAAATCTGGACTATTGTAAGTACTCAATCATAAATTTTGATATAATTACAGTCTATCCTCATTATCTGTAGATTTTATACATGCAAATCTTCCTATTCGCTAAAATATATTTCTAACTCCAAAATCAGCACTTGAGATACCTTCTTAGTTTTTTGCAATGGAAAGATGTGAATCACCTGACATGCACATCTGCATCTGAGGGTGATCAAGAAACACTTAGCCTTCTTGTTTCAGCTCTCATACTGTAAACAAGTGTCCTTCTTGTGATCTATTTAACACCATGTATTTCACATTACTCTGCTTTTTGTCGGTGCTCTGTTTAAAACAGCTCCCAAGCATTGTGCTGAGGTGCTGTCTGTTCCTAGGTGCAAGAAGGCTGTGATTTGTTGTATGGAAAGAATATATTACATAAGCTTTGCTTGGATGTGAATTATAGTGCTGTTGGCCATGAGTTCAATGGTAATGAATCAATAATACATATTAAATAAGGTCTATTTAAATACAAATACACATAAAACAAAGTTACATATTGACTGATGAAAATATGACCAAGGCTTGTAGGAAACTAACCCTGTATGTCCCCTGGGAGCAATAATTCACTATTCAATAATTCAGTGTTTGTGGTGCCTTTATAGGACACAACTACTGCAAATAATGAGAATCTACTATATCCTATAAATAAGCTACTAAGAAAGTTTGCATTCACTATAATTTCTACTTCATTAGAAAATATATGGAAAACAAAGTAGCTCACAATCATAGTATCTTTTACTGAGATTAAGTAGGGCCTTAGAGATATATAGATTTTAAAAATAATTTCAAGAACCAAAGCTATTAAAAATGTATATTCAAAATATCATTAGCTTATTTTACAGTTTGGAAAACAAGCATGCAATGATCTATATGTAACAGAAGCATTATGATGCAAAATTTTCCAAGTTCTGAGCAGAAATTCTTCTGGAAAAGTCTTTGTTTTGTTTTGAGCTCAAATAAAGCTCATTTCTTTCAATTACACATCATTTCTAAAGCTGCTTAAGATTCTAAAGAGAATATTAATTAGTATTTAATGTTTCAAATTTTAAATTTAAAGAAAAGAAAGGATGGAAAAGGGAGAAAATGGAAAACAAGCAAGGCAAATCTGGGTCCTTGGCAACATGACTCTTTAGGTTAATAATAATGGGCTGGGTGTCACATATGCCTATGATCTTCAGCTTTTGGAGAGCAGGTATGAAAGGGAGGTACCTTCCCTGTAGGTAACCTCCCTCTTCTCAGCTTTATTTCTAGAAACCTCCATAACAGCTTTTCTTATTAAAAGAATTTCTTCCAAAGGAATGGATCCTTTTTATGCCATTCCCTAAAAACTGAAGCAGAAAGCCATCATTTCTGGCTTAACTCACGTTATATACAGTGAGTATATTGGATTATTGGATTCATCCAATAAATAATTATTAACAATCTGGCAAGGCATTGCACCTGGGTGAAAAATTCTGAATTAGGACTAGATCTTTTCATTCCCCTTTTCCCCACCTTCAATCCTTCATTTTTTCAATGAGGCTGATGCTATACTCGGGTTATCTTCCAAAAAGCCATGTAAACTTTGAGTTTTCTCTTCTTCACCTTTTAATTAAAGTTCTAGGTATAAGTGTGTAATGGTCAGCCTGACTGTAGCTAGTTCCAATTCACAGGAAAACCCAATCACACAAAACTGTATTTATTAAGGCCTGGAAGGAAAGGAAGGAGGAACTCTAGTCTTTACTAACAACCCCTCTACCTCATTTGAAAGGGAATAAATTTCTAAATAGTTGAGGATGTTGCAATATGTTTTATAAAAAACTAAAATAGTTAAGACAATGATAGGACTTTTGCAAGTATTTTAACAAATCCTTATCAATGGAAATCCAATGTTTTCAATTATTCTAATACTTTCCACATTTTAATTCAATTATATTAATCTGCACAATTAATCCACACCATTTAATTCCCTTCTGAATAAAAATCTTTTAGAATTAACTAGCTGTTTCACAAGTGTGCCTTATGAATTTGAGTATCAACTAGGTAGGTACACTGCTTTTCGTCAATTCTCTTCTGAATAGGTGATTTGTGGTCAAAAGCCTATCAAAATCTAGATGAGAAAGCTTAGAAAAATAATTTCACTGCTGACACAGGGAAAAGAATTCCTAGAAGTAATAAGGAAGTTACCACATCTATCAAGGCATACTAATAAATGGTTCAGACTTCTCTTGGATATCTATTACCTGCCCAAAACAGAGAAAGAGAGATGGTCCCTGTCCCTGAAAAGTTCAATTTGATGAGGGAGGACAGATGTCAAAAAAAAAAAAAAATGCTTTTCAGCATGATACATTCTCTGAAAACAAGTGACCAAGAGCTCCTACCCTGGAGAAACTGTGTAGGAGTTTGAAACACAGTATGCTATGGTGGGAAGAAGGCACAAGTACACTAGGGTGTGTAGTGAGTATGTATGTATGTATGAGTATGTAGTGAGCACCTTTAAAGAATGAGGCTAAAGAGAGGCCAGTTCACGAGGGTCTCCTCCAGAAACTACTGAGAGATTGTATATAGAGAATAGCTCCGCATGTTAGAAAGATAAACTTGGCAGTACTAAAGAGGGTGGGTGGGAGGGAAACAAAATCAGACACAGGAAGGCTAGTCACACCCTTATGAAAGAAACTCAAGTATTAGAAATAAAGAGGAACGGAGATTAGGGAGTGGGAATAAAAAACGTGAGGAGGGATTAAAGGTAAACTTAAAAAATAGAATCAGTAAGATTAAGGGATACATTGGCTGTAGGGCAGTGTTTCTCTAACAGGAGTGATTTGTTCACCATGGGGTATTTCACAAAATCTGGAGACATGTTTAGTTGTCATAACTGAAGGAGACTGCAATTGGCATCTAGTGCGTAGAAGCCAGGGATGTTGCTAAACATCTACAATGCACAGAGCAGTCCCCTACGAGAAAGAATTATCCAGACCAAAATGTTAATGATGCCGCTAACCCGGATGGGAACAGAAAGCAAAGTCTGGGATTGGGGGAGGATGAAATGGGAGAGGATGAACTCAGTTTTGATCAAGGTCAGATGCGTATAAGGGTGTGCATATAAAACTGTCAGCACAGCAACTTGAAAATATTAGTTTGGAGCATAATACAGAACACCAGCCAGAGTAAAAAGTTAGGAGAACCATCAAGAGATCATATCACTAGTCTGTTTAAGATAGATTTCAACAACACTAAGCATGTGGATAAATTTCATTTTAAAGAAAAGCTGTAGAAGCAGCAATAAGAAAGCTATCCTTGAAACCTTCAAACTCTAATTTCCTAAGAGGATCTGTAAAGCATTTGAAACTTATTGTCCCAAGGGTCCAAGTGTTAAAGTTAATACTTTTTCAAATAAATTGCATGGCATTCATCAATAAAGGTTAGACACACTGCTTCCTTCACGGCAGTTCACACGAATACTAACTGCATCAAATACCATTATTTCCCAAAGTATGTTCTACGGAACAGTCCTAGAAATGAATGCTCCGTGTTTAAATAAGTTCTGCAAACACTGTATTGCCCCATTCTGAAATGCTTACAATATACGTTAGTATATTAAAGATCCTAAGAAGTCCTGCAGTAAAGAAACCCACTTAAGCCTGAATAACCAGCATGTGGCAAAACTATCTGACCCTAGAATTCTTTTCCATGTAACACATTAACATCTCCCAGGATTTATATTTTATGACCACAATAGTCTGGAAATTCTGCCTTTTTTACTGACATTATTGTCACTAGAAAAAATATATATAAAAAAAATCCAATACAAAAATTGAAGCCTTATTTAGTAATGACTAAGATTAATGTTTGTTAATGGCATTCAAAATAACTCTTCTAAGAAATTAATCTAAAAATCAAATTTAAAAGCAAACAGATTTTGGCAAGAAATGCTTTAAACTACCTTAAAGAAACAAAACTAAACACGTACATACACCACACCCACACCTACACACTTTAATCCTAGAGAATCATCTACTTTGTCATTTCTTACATCAATAATCAGGACCATGAGTGATTCAAATGACCTATTATAAGAAAAGCTTACTGGAGTATTTTCCAGTTGGCTCATAAAATAATTCTAAGAAGCTGTTGTAAGAATAATTCTGAAGTTCTTCATCTTGGGCTAAAACTCAGTAAAAGTACTATATGCAGTAATCAACTCCAAAACTTAATATGGATGGGAGTAATTGGAAGAATTAAAGTATAAGATGACCTGAGAAAAACAAAGTAAAATCGGAATTTTGTTTTAAAAACAAGCAACCTCATTAAAGTTGACATAAAGAATTACTATATTTAACTTAGGCATCTCTGTAATAAGGAAGAAACAAGAATCATGAAAACGGAAGCAAAACAGTACGACTATTTGCTAAAGACATATAAGCTCTAGATGCAGGGGAAAAAAAGAGGAAAAAGTTAACATTTGTCATCTAAATAGATTTGATTTAGAAAAACTCAATGAGGACAGCCCGGGTGGCTCAGCGGTTTAGCACCGCCCTCAGTCCAGGGCCTGATCCTGCAGACCCAGGATCGAGTCCCACGTCGGGCTCCCTGCATGGAGCCTGCTTCTCCCTCTGCCTGTCTCTCTCATGAATAAATAAAATCTTTTAAAAAAGAAAAAGAAAAACTCAATGATAATGCTTTTTAAAAATTATGACTGAAGTCTGTATTTTTGCAAACATGCAATAAATTTATGTTCCAAGGAAGTGCAAAAGTATGGGTCCAAAAGTAACAACTAGGGATCACTGGGTGGCGCAGCGGTTTGGCGCCTGCCTTTGGCCCAGGGCGCGATCCTGGAGACCCGGGATCGAATCCCACG